CCTTGAGCAACTTTCCTAACTAATTTGAATATCTGTTTTCTGATGTGCACAAATGAACTACTACTGATAGCACTATCTTATTGTTGTTGTTGCTATTGATTGTATGAGATAATGTGTATCAGTTTCTCACACAGAGTATGCATTCAATAAATCTGGTTATTCTTACTACTTATATAATAATAGGAAGAAAAAGAAGAAATAGTTATCTAATAATCGTAAATAGTAGTAATACACATAACAGCCAATTTTAGTTGAGAGTCATATTTTATTACTAATCAAGTAATGTAAATGTTCTAAAAAATTCATCTATATAAACTAATAAATAAGTTAGCTATAATCCCAATAAAGTACTTACTTGTTATTTTATCTTTTTTTATGATCTAAAACTAAAACTAAACTCCTTCTTTAAAAAGTACTCATGTGAGAAAGCTTGCAAGTGGCCATCCAAGATGCATCAGTTGGTCCCAACCACCTGGAGTAAAGGAGAATGAAGAACACCAAAGATACAAGAGAAGTATTAGCCCAAGAGACAGAAAGGGCCACATAAACCAAAGACTTCATCAGCCTGAGACCAGAAGAACTAGATCGTGCCCGGATACCACCAATGACAGCCCTGACAGAGAACACAACAGAGAGTCCCTGATGGAGCAGGAGAAAGGCGGGGTGCATAACTCAAACTCCAACAAGAAGACCAGACTTAATGGTCTGACTGAGACTGGAGGAACCCCGGAAAGCATGGCCCCTTAATTCTCTATCAGCCCAGAAATAAAACAATTCCCAAGATCAACTCTTCAGACAGCGGTTAGACTGGACTGTGCGACATAAAGTGATACTTGTGAGGAGTGTGTCTCTTAGCTCAAGTAGCTATGAGAGACTAAATGGGCAGCTTCTGTCCGGAGGTGAGATGGGAAGGCAGAGAGGGTTAGGAGTTGGTTGAATGGACATGGGGAATCAGGGGTGGAAAGGAGGAGTGTGCTGTCACAGTATGGGGAGAGTAATTAGGGTTACCCAACAATGTATGTATAAAATTTTGTATGGAAGACTAATTTGAAATGTAAACTTCATTTAAACTACAACAATAAAAAAAAATTTTTAAAAAAGTACTCATGTGAGAAATGGAGAATTCAAAAAAGATATTTTGAAAAAGAATAAACTTGTGGAAAACTTTTCTTATCTGATATTGAACCATATTTAGTTCTTAATAATTAAAACAGTGTGATACTCGCATAGAAATAAAACCATTGCATCAGTTTGTAAGCAGGTAATAGAAGACTTAATGAACAGTGTTTAGGTGATAATGATCTCTATTATTTTCTTAACATGCCTGGAAGTTGGCAGTTTCAAGACTTTTTTCAGCAGCCTTAGATCTGGAACTAAATGATTCTGGCCTATCTCTCATCATTGCAAGATGCCTGCCATGGCTCCAAGTATCAGGTCCTTAATCTATAGCAGATGTGTACAATGTATTTTACATCATGAAGAAAGGAAAGAGTGGGTGGAATATTTTTTCTATGAAATGTGTACCACAAATATAAAATATTTCACTATAATTTTTTTTCTAGTATAAAATAAATTCATGATTCTTATGAAGCCTTCTTCTAAAAATAAGCTATATAAAATAATTTTCATGGAGTTTGGAGCTTTGAATACAAGTTTCAGAAAAGTTTTTTGTGCTTGAGTAGCTAACTTCCCATATTCTGTTTGCTGAAAAAATGAGAGTAGATGGCTGGAGTATAAACACTAATAAAATTGCAGAGAAAAATATAAAGGCGATGACTCATTAATTTCAAAAGGAACTTGGAAAACCTTCTAATATTGCCGAAAAATGTGACGTCCAACATCAGTATCTTCTGCACATTCATCCAGTCATAATGCTATAAACTGAATAATTCAATCATGTCTTATTTTTCTCAGTTTTATAACTCAGAATGCTTTGTTGAAAGTGAATGTTTTCATATATCAAGAAAGTTGTGAAATACTGTTATATTAATTACATTTTAACAGTCAGTATCTACTGAGCAGAATATTACAGGGTCAGTCAAATACTATATGACTTCAATATTTCCCAATTTTCTCTTTTGGAAAATCTTTTTTTTTCAATCTAGTCTTCATTTTTTTTTTTTTTACTTTTTTTAATCTTCAAATATTTTTTACTAGAAATAAATCATGTTTGCTTTATATGGGTGAAAACATATTCTTGCTATTTCCACATCTGAAAATTTCCCAGAAAGTAGAATTTATCAAGTTAAACTGTCATTTTCAAATTGATAAAATGAATGCATTGAAGATAACATTTTTTTCTCATAGGAAAAACCTAATAATAAAATATAGTCTTCAAAATAATTTTCAACATAACTTAGCCTTGAGTATGTATTTCACATTGTATTTTATGTACTTAACTTCATGTATGAATATTTATTTTTCCCTAAACATATTGTAATCTCCTTAAGAGATTATAGTGCATATATTCATATATCTTTTCTTTTTTAACTTTTTTTCTTTATCTCCACCTAACCTGGTGCTAAATGTGGAGTAAATATTCAATTAATACTTGGTAATTGTTCATGGAATTTCTACTCTTGGACTTAAAAGATAGCTCTCATGTGATTTAGTGATGTTTCTTTTGTAACTTCATATAACTTTATATAATCCTTTGAAATCTTTTTAATCATTAGGATTCTAAATGCTTGAAAATATTAAAAATAAAATGAAATAATTAAAAATAACAATTTTTCCCTTAAGGTGTGTAATCAAACATGGTATGAATAATATAACTATTATTTAGAGTGATTATCATGTGCCAGACAATGAGTGGTTATCATGTGCCAGACACTGGGCTAAGAATGTTACCTGGATTATCTCAATCAATCCTTGTAAAAGCACTTTGAATAAATTTATTTCCACTAGTTAATAGATGAACCTGTTGCCCTGGAGTCGATTCAGACTCATAGCGACCCTATAGGACAGAGTAGAACTGCCCCTTAGGGTTTCAGGGAGGGCTGGTGGATTTGAACCGATGACCTTTTGGTTAGCAGTTGAGCTCTTAACCACTATGCTGGTGGCACAGTGGTTAAGAGTTCTACTGCTAACCAAAATGTCAGCCACTTCCTCCCACTGTGAGGTATTTTCGTAAGCACCACTCTGCCTTTTTTTTTTTTTTTTTACATGCTTATGAAAATTCTTCCAGGGAGGTGGGAGCAGTTGGCAAACAAATGTAGAAGGTGCACTTTATTTGTGTAAAAATGCTGTATTAACGGAAAGGTTGGTGGTTCAAACCTATACAGAGGAGTCCTGGAAGGAGGTCCTGGCAATGTGCTTCCCAATGGTCACAACCTTGAAAACCTTATGGAGCTGTTCTACTCTGCACACATGGGGATGCCATGAGTTGAAGTCAACTTGACAACAATGAGTTTGGTGGGTTCTTTTTTTTTTCTTTGGTTTTTATCACGTTCTCCAGCAACAGAGCTATTCCTGTTTTTATAGCTCACAATTTCTCTTATATGAACAATACTTTTGCAAACCATTCAGTTGGTACTCTCCGTTTTCACTACCCTTGTCCCTCATGTTTTCACTTTTATTGCTACTCATTTTATAAGATTATAATCAGTCTGTTGCATCCACTTTCAGCTCCTTCACTCCCCCTTCTCTCTCTCTTTGTAGCCTTTCATTTGCCAAACAAGAATTTAACTTTTCCCCTACTCCAAGCCTAACCCTGAACATTTAAATATGACTAGGTTGCTATGAGTCGGAATCAACTCAGTGGCAAAGGGTTTTTTTTTTTTGGTTAGAGGGAAGCACAGAGCCATGCTGTCAGGGCTCACTTTGAATTCACAACCACTAAACTAAAGTATGCTCTTAGTGATACCAGGAAATCTTATTTAATTTTGCTGGTTTGTAGACTTTCTCACACTTCTAGAACAATTTTTATCTGTTTATCTCTCCTCAAACATTCAAATATCTCTCAACCATTATCACTCTTATCTGATGATTTTCTTCCTATTTGACCAAATAATAATAATAAAAGCCATTAAAAACAAACAAAAAAAAACTATAATACACTGCCACCAGCACAGCACCGATAGTACCCATGTTCCTGTAGCTGTCCACAAATATTCTGCATTCCCTCCTGTTACTAAGGACTATCTGTCTAGACTTGTATCTAAGGCCAGCTTTTCTACTTGTGTCCTTTATTTTTATCCCCTCTTTCTGTTCAAGGGCATATGTCTGGAAATACTTCCTTGTCTCTTTTATGTAACTAATTTCCTCTGCCTGTTGGAACTTCCCTAATAATATCCAAACATGCTTTCTTTTTTAAATCTTTTCAAAATTATCACATGTCCTAATTTTCTCTGTAGTCTCCCACAATGTTTCTCTTGCTTTTATTGCAAGATCTTTAAAAGAATCACCTATAAATTATGTTTCCAATACCTTTTCTGCCATTTTTTTCTTGAAACTACTCCAATAAACTATATTATCACCCCTGCTCTACTCAGTTTGCTTTGTATAAATACTGTGGCCTCCACATCACCAAATGCTCTATCTTTATTGAAGTTGACAGAGCACTGGGCATAGCTGAGCACTTGGTCCTCTTTAATAGGTTTCTGTTTTTTCACTTGGCTCCCAAGACATCTATCTTACTTCCCTCTCCCTCCAAGTATCCTTTGCCAGAGTTTCTTCTTTTTATGTGATCTCTTAATATTGCACTGTCCCAAGGTTCAGTAATTGAATCTTTGATCTTAACCATCTACATGCACTCTCTTGGTTATCTTATCCAGTAGCATTATTTAAAAACCGTGTCTTAGCTGATGTCCCCAAATTTTATATCATCCTCTCAGAAATGTTTTTTGAACACCATACTGACTATTCAACTAACACCCTGACATCTGTATTTAGATATCTAATAGCTGTGATAAAGTCAACATGTCTGAAATCAAACTTCTTTTCCTCTTTCCCAAACTGTCTCTTCTCAGTCTTTCCCATTTAAATTATAGACTACTCCACTGCAAGCCTCCAGGGTGCTTGGGTCTGGAGTGGCCCTGTGTATTCCTACAGTGCTTGTAAGAACAGTTTTGAAACATTTTGAGGCCTTGCTCTACACCAATTACAGAGCAAAGTTATAGAAATTTCAGACAATTGAATAAAAAATAAATAAAAATAACAATAACATCAGGCCTCTAGCACTGGATATATGGGATGGATTGGAGGTCCTCTCAGGGGCTGCCTCCTGCCACACTGGAGCCTCTGCCAACCTGGGCTCCTTCTGGGCACAGCCTTCATTCCCCGCAAAGCAGAGGTGTGTGTCCAGAACCACATCCAGCCCTAATCAGTAAATGCTTTATTTAAAGCCAATAAATAAATAAATTATAGACTACTCCATAATTCTAGTTGCTTGGGCCAAAACTTAGAACCACACTTAAATTCTTCCTTTTTCTCAGACCCAAATTAAATTCATCAGCAACCTATGTTTCCTATTTTCAAAATGAATTCATGATTCTGTTACCTCTCAACACATCCACTTAGGCTATTTTGATTCAATCCATTGTTATTTCTCAATCCATCATCATATCTGAAATTTCCTTCTAAGTCTTCTCCTTAAGTCTACTCCTGTATTTCTATTTTAGACAGAAAAGCTAGAATTATATTTTAAAAATATAAGTTATGTCATGTCATTACGTTTTCAAATCCCTACCTTCCAATGGATTTCAATCAGTTTAGGAACAAACGTCCTTTCAATAGAAGGCTATATGTGTCCTTCCTCACAATACCAGTTACCTATCTTCATGTCCTTCACTCTCCCCCATACTATTCTCTTCCAGACACAAGTTTCCTTGTTGTTCTTCAGGATGTTTAGCCCTGTTAGTTCTTCTACCTGGAATATCTTTCCCTCAAAAGCTTGGAACAACCTATCCCATCTTCTTTTGGTTTGTTTTTCCCTATATAAGTTTCATTATGCAATACATGTTATGCTTGTCTGTTTACTGTGCAATTCTCTCACTAGGAAACAACTTCCATTAGGGAAGAGACTTTGATTAGCTCACTGCAGTTCTTCAAATGCAAGGTCAAGTATATGTTAGGTATCAACATATATTTGCTCAATGAATGTATGAATAAAGTACAGGTAGTCCCCTACTTACGATGTATTCGAATTGTGAGGAATCGCACTTATAACCTTCCTTCTTTTGTACATCTTATTGTTAGTAATACATACTACATAAAATGTTGCAGTGTATAACTTGCTGATATTATTCTCAGATGTTCACTCACAGATGTTCAATTTTATGATTTACTGTTCAAAACACTGCCGTATGAAGTTGGTGTCTGTGTTGGGAGTCATAATGGATAGAAAGTTGGGCAATGTTCAACTCTAACAACATAGGACAATTGAACTGAACACACACCCGACAGTCATCACAACTGCGACTCCATTGCTACAAGACTGACTTCATTGTAGACCAGGCCTATAGTGTGATTGTATTCAGAGTTTCATACCATAAGAGGCATCAGTTGTTAATTTGAAGCCAAATTGTTCAAATTTCTCTAACTGTAACATCTGCACTGCTTATACTCAAATCAAACCAAACCCGTTGCCGTTGAGTTGACTCCGACTCATAGCAACCCTGTAGGACAAAGTAGAACTGCCCCATACACTTTCCAAGGAGAGGCTGGCTGGTGGATTCAAACTGCTGACCTTTTGGTTAGCAGCCGAGGTCTTAACCACTACACTACCAGGGGTGCCCTCAACAATATGTCTAGCAAAAGAAGTCATGCCACTGAAAGTTCTAATCCAAAAAAGCAAGTGAGGAAGGCTTTAAACATGGATATAAAGATGAAGATCACTAAGGCCTATGATAATGGAAAGAAAGTCAGCAAATTAGCACCTAAAAGACTGTCTCATTTGACCGTTTTGACAATCATTAATGATGAGAATAGGATTTTGCAGGCAGTTAAAGGAGCGATTGGCATAAAATCGACAATTTTAACAAAGAAGAGCAAGGGCCCATCCACAAAATGGAGAGGATGGTTTGACTAGAAGACCAAATCCAGAAAAGGGTTCCCATGAGTTTACTGATGATTCAAATGAAAGTATGCAGCCTTTTTGAAAACCTGAAGGAACAGCAAGGTGAAGACTGCAGCGAGTACTTTAATGCCAGCAAGGGCTAGTTTCATGACTTCAGATGCAGATTTGGTTTAAAAACATGAGTATAACTGTAGAGGCACAAAGCGTTGATGTTGAAGCCGTCAAAAAATTCAATGATGAGCTGGACAAGATAACACAAGATGAAGACTCTCTATCAGGTAAAAAAGAAAAGAACCATATAGACAACTCTCACTAATTTTCTGACTAGAAATGCCATCTTCATTTCCAGGAATAATCTAGATGATCCAGAACCTTCCACAAGTGAAGTTCCTACCACAACTGACAAAATACCAACATCATTCAACTCTTCGTCATTGTCGGAGGAAAAATTTTTATGATTTTTGTATTTTTTATGTATGTATGCATTAAATTAGATCTGTAAATTTATATGTAATATTTCCAACATCCAAAGGCAAATAAATACCAGATTTATAAAGATACTGATAATAAAAAGCAATAACAATGAAAACTGAAAAAGAATGAAGCATCAGACTTACGTCAGAACCAACTTATGACTGAGTACTTGGAACAGAACCCAGTTGTAAGATGGGAACTACCTCTAATGATGTTAATGAGTCTCAAAAGTCGTAGCTCTTTCCAATTACAGCATATGAAGACTGTTATAACATAGAATATAAAAAAGCAAATCTATCCAAATAGGTAGGGAAGAAGTCAAAGT